ACTTAGTGGAGCCAGGATATACGAGCAGTGCTTCGAAGACACCTGTGATCGAAAACCATTAACCTACAATTATCTCCTTTGTTACTGGCCATGTTTCACAGCCATAGAGTAGAACGGAGCGAACTGCAGCGCGGTGGACTTGTCCTTTGGTTAGCAGATAGTGAATATAAAATCGTTATTGACAAATCATAGTCATTTACACTCTATATATGAACTAGATGGCCTTAGAACTTTAAATTGAGTATGAATTCTTTCAAACAGGCTGTCCAATTTTATACGTTCCTTCATATGTAAATGTCATCAAGCAATAAAGATATATTCCTATATTTCTTGTTAATTAAGCAGTTTCTTGAAATCTTGGATAAACATTTTGAATCAAGTTAATATTTCAAAATGTACACATATTGCGTAATATTTAACTTTTCTGAACTCTCTCTTGCTTATTCTTTTCATGACTGGATCCGAGGTTCATGACTTCCCACTGCATACTTAAGAAATCCATCTGAGAGTTAGTCATATGACCATAGATATGCTAAATAACTGCAAGTTTCGCAGTTGATGCTAAACGTATTAGTATCTCTCATAGTCTATGCTATTTTAATAAACTATTAAGCAACTAAATATTAAGATAGTGTGGATAATTATAAGCACTAATTTAATGAATTTACTCTTAAACAAAACTCACAACATATGTGGAAATTTTTTCAATGTTACCTACATCGGCTATACATGAATGGACATTTATTTGCTTTCTTTATCTTCTTTTGAAAATAACCGCGTAAAATGATTTAAAAAGATTTCTAAAAATACAATAACAATTCTCGAAAGTGCATGCACCATTATTTCGATCATAGTTTTGTTTGATTTTAAAATTACTGAAACAAACAGGAATAATTGAAATATTATTTTAAAAATGGAAAAGTATTGTCGATTTTATGAACCATCGCTCTTAAAATGTTAATCAATGACTTTTATGAGCTTTCTGAACGACGACATTACGTTTGTTTTCATTTTCCAGATATTTTAAAGTATTTGATAAACTAAATAAATTCTATAATCCACCACTAAAAAGTCACAAAAAAAACTGGATAAGATTTTATTGTACACAGTTAATTATTAGAATGTTTGATCAATAAACAAAAACCGAAAAAAGAAGACTTTTCGTTTCGATGATATCATTTTCCGGAGCAGTACAACGGTTTTTATAGGTAATCTTTCACGTAATAGTCTATCATCAAAGGGAAAAGTTTTACAAAATTATCAGCTTTAGTCAAACTTATTCAAGTGGAAGACAATGAGAATGAGGTGGTGTTGCGTAATATGGTCAAGATTATCAAAAGATTTCAATTACTGAATTTACTAATAATAATTTAAAAATGGGAGGGCTTTACTTCAATGTAATTAATTTTTAAGTATTGTATAAAAAGAGGCTACACCATTTGATAAAGTAATCAGAAAGCATCAAGAGCTTATGTTATGTAATAATTTTAGAAGCAATAAAGTTAAAGTCTATAGAATGAAAATTAAAAATTATTTTAGACTTTGTGAAGGAGGGCAAGACGACAGTAATAATTAACACTCATGATTTTTAATAATCTGAAGTGGTGTTAAGGCCATTAGGAAGTAAGGGAGTGAACATGACTGTTCTTTTAAAAGAGGTCAGGTTTGAAATGATGAATTGCTGTAGCCTCAGCTGTGCACAAATTCCTCATCAAAACCTTTTTTGAGCCGGTTATTCTCATCTTATAGAGGATCTTGAAAGATGAGTCACGTGGTGCGTTGTGACCTGAGCTGACTAAATATTCAAGGATTGAGTTGCCGATTGATTTGCATTCTCCTTTAGATAGCCACGCAGAATAATGCTTGGGTATTCGTTTACCAAATGCATGCTTTGTATGGCCAATATGACCAGATCCACAAAAGCAAGTAAACAAACATTGTCCCGACCGTAGCTGCTACATTGACTCGGTGGTCGGGCTTGACTATCGTGATGACCCAACCGAGCTATACTGGCTGGAACATATGTTCCTGAAGGTTCTTCCATGCCAGGCAGGTTGATTGGAGAACGATGAGATTAAAAGCAGCTACTCAAGGTCTGAGGGCGAAGTCGTACTTTTGACTGTAGAGGGGTGTAACAGCAGTAAGGCGTTTCTCTCGGACAACCAGCATCTGCAGCGATGCTGCCTTCTGACAAGGAAGGAAGGGTTAGAAAAGGTCGACCCTAAAATTGTCACACCTCACCCTACCTCACGGATTTCCGTCTCCGGTGGTAAGGGTGCCCACTAAGGGCCTTTAAGAGCGGAGCTATAATACTCAAAAAACCCTTCATAAAAAGGCCGTGCGTGACTGGCCTCAAGCAGTTGTCCCTTGGGCTCTGCGGTCACGCACCCAGGTCTCTAAGACCAACGCTCATATACCTTCCTCTTCAGGTTACTCAAGAAACAACCTTCCACGGTGTGGACAACCGGGAAGTGACAACCGCCCTCATACCCGTACCAGAACACGAGACCGAATCGGTCAAAATCAAAACATACATTGAAATGACCCAAAGTGGTAATCTATCTTCGACACTCCTGTGAATGAGTTCCTTACTGAAGAAGACGGTTCATAGCTCTGTTCAATAAAACATCTTGCTCAGGGATCTGGATAGTCTGTCCTTTGGTATCTCGGCGGACGAATTCAACGTTCAAGAGTAAAACTTACTTCGTAACTGTTGGAATACTTTCAATCCAATGTTTCGATTTTAGATTACTGTCAAAGAACTTAGACGGAAAGCCATTCTCCTGAGGCGTTCATCGTGTTACATTTAGCCTGGTTCCGAAAGATGGAGAATATATTTTAAATTCGTCTTCCTACTCAACGGTGTCCGACTTGTAAAGTTCGTTATACTGCCCGTTACAGGTTGGATTTCTGTAAAACAATTACTGTAGAGATCTATCTATTATCCGTTTAAGTAAATCATCAAGAAAATGGAATTTAGAATTCGACTCCGCTTCTAACATGAACGTTATTCGTGTCGTAACAACTGTTGAACTCTTGTATTATTTTATTACGGTCACAGTCTTCTTCACAGTTGATAAAAGTGTCGTCCATATATCTCTTGTTATTTGAAGAGCAGCAGTGTTGAGCAATTAGAAATCATAATTCATTTTACTAAATAAATTAATTTATCAAATGTACAGCAATATAGATAACTTTGATTACTTCATTTTGATATGATTTTACTTTTAAACACTCAAATTAATTATTATTAATAAATGATTCACAGGTTACTCCCACTTTTAAATTTTCTTGGCTTAGTTTTTTAAACAATAAAATACTTACTTACAGGCCTATACAAAAACATGTTCTATAAAAAACGATATTCAATTAGATAGGCTGTTAAAATTAGTACCATTTGAAGTGAATTTACATTATGAACGAAAATCAACTGAACTAAACTATTGAAGTGTGAGAAACATTAGAAAGTAATTTCAGATTCAGTTGACTTTTCAATAATTTGTATTCTTAACTGGTGGTATGACTAAATCAACTGCTTACAATCACATTATTTCGACCATAAAACTGAAAACTCCTCATCAAGAACAATAAGCATACACTAATACAAAGAAATGAGCAAATAAGAGTTTCTTATGTGTGCTATATCCAGGTGTGTCTGCCTTTACTCCGTGGCCAATTACAGCTTAGACTAACTAATTCTGAACATCATTATATTTAAGACCCTTAAGTTTTATAGTGAGAACGATACTGTTCATCTTTGGATTGGGAAATAGATAAAGCACATTTTAATCTTCAGTCGATTTGTGTCATAAAAAACTCCTCAGTAGATGATGTTATTAGCTAACAACCTCTGTTCTTGTTCGATTTACTCTTTCTACCCAATTTATCAATCAGTACTTCAAGAAATACCATCTGGAAGCTATTCTCTAATGCTTTTCGGTTCTCCGCCTAAGTCTATTTGCAAATAAATATACCTTCACTTTTACATAGTTCTTTGCCATTAATTAAAAGTCTGTTCAACAAACTGCTGAGAGTTTTTATAGCAAAAGTTTTCAAGAAAAATATTTTCTAGTTACCTGATAACATCTATAGTTTTTTTTTATTCAAAATGATTCAATAATGTGTATAGACCAATCACTTCAATTAACGTATCTGATAGCTTGAAAATTAACTAATTAGAGTTGATTGGTTGATTATGTCAGCTAAGAACTTTGAACGTTAATCATTTCAAATGTAAAAGATGAGAGTTTTATTCGCATTAATGTATGTGAGATAGTTTACTGATGTTAAAATCTTGCTTTGTCTATCAAATGATAATACAATGACTATATAAAGATAGCCTGTAGTTAATGTTTGTGTTAACAGATACTTTTATTTATTACAAATCTTTCTTCAAATGTACATGTTATTCATACAAGTTAAGACATTTTTCCATACTCGATACATTTTAATCTTGAACCTATTTCCATATTATGAATAGTGACGTTGTAAATCAACGTATCCGACTTGAAGGCAGATGGTCATAGATTATCTTAACAATATTGGACGAAACCAAATTTAAAAGTATTAAATAAGCTTCGGATATTTTCTAATTTGTAAGTATAAATAGTCTTAATACCTACATCTACAGTTTCCTAACAACTGATTTCAATCAACAGATTTTATTTCCTGATGTCTTCTGAAAACATAATTTTTTGTAACTTCTTACTATGATTTAATTTTTGACAGTTCAACAATCTCCTTAAACTGAATATTCGCATCAAAAATTAGCCTAAGGGTTTCAATCACACTATTAACAGCTACGTAGGCTTATTTCATATGTTAAAATGGGTCTTCATATGCAAACACCAATAAAAATTAACGTCCTTGACCAGTTGAAAGTGTATTGGATAGATATGAATCCATTACTATTCCTTAATTATTTTTCAAGTCTCTCTGTTCAAGGACATCGTAAACTCCAAGAGTGATTCATTAGTTACAAGAATATTTATCACCAGTAATTTGGTTCTATGCTTTTATTCAACAGTTATATCTATATAAGTTTATCCACTGATATCTATATATATGATTAACATGTAACTTATTTTACACAATGTTTATTCGGAATATTTATTTTACATGTAATGCGCAATTTATTTCCATTTGTTTGTGTGGATTTTATTACTACACACTAGTTTCATCGTACAGTTTTTCGGAACAAACTATTTTCAGACAATTTGCAGGAGAAAATTTAAGTCAACAATTAAAAAATTCTGTTGATAAAATTTTAAAATTGAATTTCTCCAATGAGTATAATTTGTTTCATTGGACTACTGTTACAGTATTTAAAGAAATTGTTAATAACACACGTATAGTGTGGTTGATTTTTAGTGGATCAATTGATAGAATAAATTTAAGTTCATTGAATCCATTTACTGAGAAAGCGGTTGGAGTTATTGCATGTCAGCTAACTTATAATTCTGAGCATGCATTATGGTTACATCTAGATGAATGTTCTTTGATTGGAGGTAAAAACATGCCAAATGAAGGAAATGAACATATTCTAAAACATCATGGTAGTACTACCCTTTTGGGAATGAGCCTTGGTAGTCTTGAGTTTGAAAAACCTATAAGTGGAGCAGTCATAGTATATTGTGATCCTTTGTGGCATAATGACAAACAGAAACATAAAAGTCAGTCTGTTGTGGATATCAAATATCAAGAACAAGCAGGTGGTAGATGCTATATTCGTTTAAGACATAATGGTAAATGGTTACGCCAAAGGCGAACAAATCAAATAGAAGACACCATCCAGTTTTGTACTAATGCTCAGTATTCACAACCATGTGGTGGAGGGTTTTCATTCGATTTACAACAGACACCAATCACCGATAAAAATCCTCATTATTATCAAAATTACTCCAATTATCTCAATGCACAATTACCAAATATTCAATTTCTTACTAGTTTATTTTTAGCTAATCCAGGTGAAGTGCAAGTCCTAGATGACATATTAATGAATTTTAAAGACATTCCTAATAAAACTCATTCAAAATTTACTGTTCGTAGAATTCTCGGTAATCATGTACAATATGGTCAACAAGTTAGATGGACACCGTTTTCTAAGTCTTGGAAACATTATTTCGACTTAGAAAACAACAACACGATTTTAGCAGGCGATATATGGATGCATGAAAAGTTAGCTATAGTTTCTTCATTAGGCGATTCATACAAACCAGATATAAAAGCCTTCAACCCCAAGTCTACAGAACCAGAAGGATGGTTGGTTTACAGTATCATAAATAGCGATCGAAACAACTCTGAATCATCTGGTGATTTTACCGGCTTCGGTTTCAGCATGGAGACGGTAAATATTCCCCAACACTCAAAAGGTAAGGGTGCTTCACGAACTAATTATGGAATTTTAATTGGAGCCCCATTTGAAACTTCTTCCAAACTACAAATACCTAATCATGGAAGAGTATATATTGTATGCCCAGAAAAACATATTACCTATAAAACTGGTTTGTTTTTCATAGAAGGAACTCGAAAAAATGAGTTTTTCGGATATTCAATAGTTCGTCTAGGTGATATTGATGGAGATGGAATAGATGATGTGGCTATTGGTGCTCCAGCAATACAGTCAAAGAATACAGAAATGAGTGGAGAAAATTTAAATATTTCACTATATAATGGTCGTGTTTACATTTATCGAATTACACCACAGTGTACACTAGATCCACAGCCTCTACAGGTAAAAAAAAATCCTATATGAATTTACAATCAAGAAATCTTATGAAAATTTTATATCATTTTATTAACTGTTCAAGTTTTATATTGTCAAAAATGATTGTTTTTTTTTAAATTTCGAGAAACAAAAGATATAAAAGTAAATATAAATATGCTGTAATAGATTGATCATGTCATAGACTGATGATGATAATTCTCTTTGTGAACACTTTATGAACACATTAGGCCACAGAACAATGTTTCTGTTCAACTTGAAATTTAAATTAATTTCACCGAATCTCTTCTTCAAAGAGATTGGCTGATGAATGGTTTTTTTTATAGGAATGAGCTGACCACACTTAGTCAATCACTGAGCAGTAAAACATCTATTCAACTCTTAATTACGAATAATAAAACGTTTTAGAATAGTTGTTATCTTAATTGATGGTTGATGGCAAAGTATATTGACCGACTAGACTTAAGAGAAGATCTAAGTTATATTCTTTAGATAATTTGTCTAAAAGAATACCATAGACTGATTTTTCTGTGTTCTAGATTATAGAATCTCCTCAACCAGAGATTGGTGACGGTTTTGGAATTGGGCTGTCAAGAGGGTTCGATGCAGATGGAGATGGTTGGCCGGAATTTGCTGTAACTTCATTGAAATTAAATACAGTACCATATTTATTTACAATGCCTAAACTATTGAAAGCACAATGTCAAGTAAATATCCCACCATTATACTCAATGTTACACTTCAAAAAGGGTACTACAATACCATTTGAAATAAAAGTTCGCTTGTATGATCTACATCTACGACAATATATCAACATTCCGGAAGGATTGATTTCTGCTCAAACACGTCATCATGAAGTAAATCCAGATGTACTATGGAATTATTATTTGAATTCAAATAGAACAAGTCAAACTTTTTCATCTGACTTTTTAATAAAACAAAATGTTGAGTTATCAACATTCAATATGTTCAGTATTCAATTGAAAAAGTTAACGACACGTTTTCAAATACTAGATAACAAAATAAACAATATCCACTTGGATTCATCACAGTCATATATGATAATAAAATTTTATTTAATAGCTATGTATGGATTAGAAGAAATGAATTTAAATAGTATACCACTGAAAATCTCATATAAATCTGGAATAAATGTAACAGAAT